ATCTATAATTACTCACCTTTCCATGTTTGCATCCTATGCTCTCAAAAGCACAGAGCACCTCAACAGCTTCACAGTCACCATTAACAGCATCAAGGTGGCTTGAAAGCTTAGTTGAAAATAAAATTTCGGGTTAGATCAACAGTCGCTCCAAATCTTTTCCTATAACTTCTTATTATGGTAAATTTAACTGTCACTATCTAAACGTCTACATATTCGTTGAGACATATAAAAGCCTTCAGAACAGAATTATTTTTCTTCTGTTAAAAGGAGTCTGGCCTTGACGCCATAATGTAGTAGTGAATTCAGACTTCTTGTTCATTGGAATAATGTATGCAGTGTCGCACAACTATTGATTTGTTACCGACAAAAACGAGGCATTGTGGTTAGTTTACCTGCTTTCGTGGGAGGTTTACAGTTGAACACTTTGGACAGTCCACCGGGTATTCCTCGCAATCATTCTCTTCGTGTTCCTACAGAGCAGAACCGAACAATTGAAGTTGTTTTCAAAAACCAAGACAAAAGCTGGGTGCTGCTACAAGACCATGAGGTAAATGCCCTTTCAATGATGATAATGTCTCTCTTTTAGTTTAATACCTGTGTCTTCCTCAGTTTGCATTTATGCATTGTTACTCTTGACTCGGCTTATTCCATATTGTTTGGTAGAAAACAAATCAAGAGTTTCAACGTAACAGTCAATGAGACCAGGACGTTTCGTAGATTTTCATAAAATATATTGATCACGATCAGAAAAGGTAATAGACTATACCTTAAGCTGGTCAGCTGTTGTCACAAACTTGCAGTACTGACATTGCTGCTGTCTAAACATACAGGCTGCTTCAAGGTGCCGGGATAAGTCTCCTCTCAGCACCAGGACTCCACAACTGGGATACATACACTGAACCTTGGTATACGGACATTGAGCCTCGTGGTCCTGAAAAAAAAAAGTAAAATACTCAACCCTGGGACGTAGCGGTGCTCTCTCTCAGTAGAGCCTGTTTAGAACTGCTGAAAAGGAGTTTTAAAATTGTACTGGAGAAAACAGGTTTCTTTCAAAGAAGATCTCGTAAAAGTACATTTAAACAACGACACCCCATCGGGGATACCAGGCACTCCCTGTCCCCTCCGCTTGGACGTTGGAGAAATTTTACTTAAATTAGTCGTTATAATTTCATATTAGACGTGATTAGCCAAAAATCTCCTCTTCGGTCCTTTGCCTAAACCTACTTCTGCATAATATTATACGTAAGTATCGAACCGGCCTAGTTTATAAAACAAAGTGCTAGCTTGGGAAGTTTAGGATCATTCAAACTATAATCAGAGTAATTATAACTGTTATTTACAATACGAACACACCTCTAGATGTCCCAGTTCTCCTGTCCAATTGCAGCCGTCGCTTTGGTTTGTACACTGGACTGGTAACGACAGAATTTCGCGTCGCGCAAACTTGTCTTCGAATATCTAACAATCATAATTATATAAAGCAATTTTAATTAATCAGTTATCTATCAAGTCATAATGAAATGAATCATATCTTGCAATGGGACAATATCTTGATAATGTTGTTAATTAACTAATTTAATTTATTCAATCAGTAATCTATGAAAACAGACTATGTATAAAGTGGGCAAGAACAAGTTCTCTTTTATTCTAGGTTCAGATCGTGGAAGGGCTTCAACTTGACTGAAGAAAAGTTTCTTTTTCCTTTATGTTTTTTTTATGATAGTCTCATAGGTCGACGATGTTCAAAGTTGACGTAAAGGAGGTGAACCAGTGTGACATACCTTTTCAATGGAGATTTCTGCACTGTCCACCAAGCACTTCGAAGAAGACATTCTAAAACAAAAGAGCATACAATGAGAAATCGTTATGAAATCGATTTTTTTGGGTAAGAAATTAAAGGACCATTCGCGTTTTTTTTTAATCTGGGTGGAAGACTCGGCCCAATTCCGCGTTAGGTTCCGGTATGATCAGAAAGGAATGCTTCCTTGACAGTCACCGGATATACTGGGCGGAGATCGCGATAAACATATACTGTTTACCAGCAGGTCAGGGACACCAACCAGACGACAACGGTCCGTCAGGTCGGAGCACTCGAATCCACCAAAGCCCATACGACACATCGCCAGCTCAAATTGATGATTTCAACATTTTTTCAGTTCACGGTGAACTTTCAGTCAATTATAGGGACGTCAAGGAAGGTAGCTAAGTCTTTAGATAGGTAGGCAGCTGAGGCAGGTATCTTAAACTTTCCAAAGTAGCGACACTCTCCATGACCGTCGACGTTACAAATGAACTTTTGAATTGTCTCAACTTTCGGAGACCGTTACTCTTGTCGAGCGGGTGATTAAAACGGGTATTACACCCTGACCGATCTTGTAAACAATTAGTCAAGCTTAAATGTTCAATATTCAATACTGAAAGGTTGACTTATAAGTGTTGAGGCTTTCTTGTTTCCCTGCGTTCTTCTTATATAACATGTACAATTGCGATAGAATCAGCTTAGGTTTTAAAGGATTCAGACTGAATAAGTGAACTTTCGAACTTTTTGGGGGTTTTATCCCGGAACTGTCGGGGAAATATTATCGGGGAAATTTCCCACGTCAATCACTGTCAATGGAAGCCAAGCCTTCACATTCTGTTCAAGAAGGGAAAACCCCTTATAACCTCTCGGGGGTACGGAAATTGGTATAAAAGACAGAAAAGATCGAGGTAACTCTGACACTGCCGCTTTAGGAGTCATCTGTCGGGTTGTACAGGAGCTCGGTGAAACAGGTTTCAGCGTTGGTAAGTTTACAATTTCTTCAGCCAGCTAGAGATCTATGAAAGTTTACCATTCATGATTCCCAGAAATTTGTAAAATTTACATTTTTGCTTCGTAACGTTAACCGTTGTGCAGACTACCGTAAAGTTTGATGTCATAAATTCGAGAAAATTTGATATTTTCTGCTTTTCTTCTTTGCTCCACGAAGTTCGTCGTTACCTCGGTAGTTCTGCAACACCACAAACAGAACTTGGAGTGCGCGGGTCGGCTACATGTCGTCGTTTGGTTCTAATATCTTTATAAGAAAAGCGTGATTATTCACTACGTGGTTCACAAAGTTTCATTTAGGGTTATTACATACAAACAAAATCATATTAAGTTTAAAAGCTGAAACAATCCAACTGGTTTGTCGCTTGTCGATAAAATTACCGAAAAAAAACGTTGGTGCGATGTTCGAAAACCGTTGATGCTCATTAAAATTCTGAATGTTAAATGTTGCGACCACATTGTATCTATATATACACAAGTTTTCTGCAACTGTGGTATTGACTGCGATTCTGCCGGCATCTAGACTCGGACTACAAGGAAACTAAATTGACGTGAGTTGCTTTTTGATGCTTTCAGCGGCCTTCACACGGCAAACTAAAGTTGGCAAACTCAAGTTGGTGTGTGAACGTCACATAAACAGTCGGCAAACACGTTTGCAAACTGTTGGCGACTCTATTCTCGCCAACTTTTTCACCAACTTTTTCATGTTGGTAAACTCGTATCTGACGTGTGAACGATTGGCAAATATGTCTTGGTAACTGTCAACCAATCAAAACACGCGCTCTATTCACGTGATTCATTTGCGTGACACTTCACAAAATGGCGGACGCAAGTCAAGATATACGCGAGGCCACTTTTAAATTTATCGAAGAGGTTCACAATTGTCTGGCTGTGTGGGACGTTTCATCTGTAGTCTTCAAAGATACTAAAAACAAACAAAAGAAAGGAGGAGCTAGAGGACAAACTGAGTTTCGTCCAAACCTTTCTCGCTTTCTGTTTGTTCTCTTCTCTTCTTCTGTTCCATTGTTGTACGTGAGTGCCACTGCACTAAGTCGGTCATGTTGCAAATTACCGCGTGTTGTGATTTGACGTGAGTTTGACGAGCGAAGGAACGAGTTTGCCAACACGGGTATACCAACCTAAGTTTGCCGTGTGAAGGCCGCCTTAGATTACTAAACGTACATTTTTATATAGCGGACTGTTTCTAGCTGGCGCCAGTTTCCCCGGTACGTTATCGAGAAAACAGTATTAAGCTTGACTACTATCGATTTTGATGGAAAAATGGAAATATGCACCACCATACTCTGCGCCAAATAAAAAGAGCCGGTCGTTAAGAAGTTGAGTGCTTCGAGTGGGCGCGCTATAGAAAACATATGCCTCAAGCAAATTCCATACGGGGAGCACACGTTTCCCAAATGAAATGGTTTTCCGTCCATGAATTATGCAGAGTCGTCGGTCTCAAATGAAAAAAAAGAGATCTATTGGGCCCCTTTTGATACCAGCCTATGGCTGATGGGGCTATCCTTCCTAAATGAAGATGACTTGACTTGACATTGGGATGTTTTGGGGCGTACCCATTGTCAACTAAAATATTGGGCATTAGTTTTAGCCTCCCTCCTCCCCTCCCCCTTCCCCTTCCCTCCCCACTCAATCCACCCCATCGGGAAAAACTCGGGAATAGAAGTTTTGGATTTAAGACATCAAGTGGCCTGCAATGACCTCCTCCTGTGTTCTGGGTCCTAGTCATAATTTTCTAGGGACAAATAAGAATCTCCGTCGTTCGTGAGTACGAGCTCGAAAAGAAAAGTTACTCCGTTAGCATGTAAATGATTCTGCTTGTACATGTAGATATTTGTAAGCTTTATAGCCAGAACTTGTCTTTTTTGTGTGCCTAGCCTCCCACGTAGACGTCTTAGGCTATTTTGTGCCTAGCTTATGTCGTATTTCTGGGTTTTAGTTTAATAAGAGATACTTTTACGTTTGTCTCAGTGCTTCTAGGAGCTTCCAGGCCTTGGTTATTTTACTGCCGCCTTTGCTACTACACCAGGTTGATCGTAGAGAAAACCACCAAAATAACATTCGGAGATGATCATGCCTGGGTATCTGTTGGCCAGTTCAGAGCAGGAAAAAAGCGGTCCGAAGTGTATCCGTAACTCCTGTGGTCTGCTACTCCTTCTACTTTTTATGTTATTTCAGTAAGTGTGTCCAGAAATCCATACCGTGTTTTGTTATAGCTTTATGGCTTTGTGCAGTGCTTTTTCTATACATTTTGTATTGTACACTCTGGTCAATCTTCTGTATTATCTACTTCTGTGTTACCTACTTGTTATCTACTTTTTGTGTTGTTCTTCAACCACTCTGCGTCTCCGGAGTCAAAATTATATGATCATGAAAGTATTAATAACACACCAGTGTTATGCATTGACAAAATAAAACTGTTAACTGGGCATGGGGAGAAATCAATTCTTATAATTAAATGGTGACGATTTTTGGCGTGCCAGTCACGCAACAAGCAATTTATGTAGACCTCAACTTTAAGAGCTTGCATTTAAGTTTCTGCAAATGTAGTTTTACGAAGAGTTGACATTTTTCCCCAATGGGAAAATTTTGTGCCCGTTGTCATGAGATCCCAGACTTAGCTTCTATGAGACTCCTGACTACTTTTTTAAAGGTTTCACTAAGGTGTTGGCAGATCTCTGACTTGAGGCAGTGGTTTGAGCCATGGGTGGGGACAGGGCTGGTGTCGACTCTCTTAGGCAGCTTAGCAAGGTCTTTTAAACCTTTCGAATTTTCTGACTGGATGCCATACCCTAATGCTCGTCTGTTAATTGAACCCTGAAACCCCTGCAGACTTCTTTTTCTTTCCGATTTCCACGACACTTTGTTCGGATTCCCTAACCTCAGTTTAAATAAAGGCTTTAAATAATTTTTTTTATCAAATCTCCTAATAACAGCGCTAAGCTCTTGAGCTTACGCTTCTTGTTTTTGTTTTTCAGAAATGGATCTTCCAAAGTGATCTGTTTAGAGGACCAGACAGAATTTCTGCCAAATGAGGTCTGGCATTTCTTTGAGTTAATTGTTACATACAATGGTGTAGCTAGCAGTAAAAATAATCACCATTTATATAACAGTATTTATGGAGTACTATTGAAACAGATGGTTAGTGTTGGAGCGGCAAGTGAGCATTTCGCTTGCATCTCATACCATAGATATGCAAAGGTTTTCAACCTTCTGTCATATATGTTGTATGTCAGACCTGCACACCAGCTCGCACACGCTAAAGAGAGTGATCATTACTGAAAATGTTTCAAAATGCATCTTACCCAGGACGGCTATTATTTATACAAGACATCTGAGGGTCGTGATACTTTGGCGGATGAGAGAGAGTCCGAGTTAAATAATTGTACTGGATGTCTCTTATTTGCCTTTAGAAAAGATCCTGTGAGAAAGCACACCCTAAAGCCGTAGTGCTCTATTGATTCTATTCAGCCTGCATGGGGATCCACTCGGCTATCGCCTCGTGTATCCACAGCTACTTTAACAATGTTATGACGAAATTCATGATCAATAACAGGACAGTCGCATGAAAAACGGACGTCAAGTTGTTCAATAGATAGCTCTTAAAATATTTTTGTTAAATTTATATAGGTATATTTGCCAATTATAATTAGAATCAAGATTAATTCCCAAAAGTAATATTCATTTAACGTAATTGTGAGGTTTAATAAACATATTGGAGATGCTGAGATTCACTTTATGAGCTATTCTTCTACCACAAATCTGTTTTACTCCGTTTTCAAAGCTAATTTTTTAGCATATAACCACTGGCTCGCCTTTTCTAATTTGAAATTTTCGTTGGTTTCGTAATTTAGAATGTTTACAGAATGGAACATTGCAAATCGAGTCTGTAAGTAGAAACGTCCTCCGTAGTATGCTCCTTTACTAATATAAACATAAGAGAAATATGTGTTCGGCGCGCATTGCGCACTACGTCTCAAACTGAGCGATGAAATTTCAAAAAAGTTAAAATCAGACACCCGCGTGATCGTACTTCCACATGTAAGAAATGGCACGCGGATAACAAGTCAGAAAGAAGAATCTTGATTCTAAACCAAATATTGATTATGAATTTCGCAGGTTTTTCTACAAGTAATCGCAAGTAACAGTGCAATGGACGGAATGATGGAGGAAACGGAGGAAGCTAATGAAAACTACAGTTTCAGAAATAACGACAGAGACGAGTACGATGATGATCAATGCAATCATGGCGGCTGTGATGAAGATGGTCATGACGTTACCATTGCCCCTGTTGGTTTAGCTGCTGCTATCGTCGTTGTAGTAGCAGCTGTTATAGTCGTTGGTGTTGTTGTACGGGGTGGCGGCGGTGGCGGCGGTGGCGGCGGTGG